GTTACATCCTAGTCTATTACTTCGTTTTGGTCTTGTGTCATGTGGTTGTGACCAGTGATTGACAAGCTACAATCTACTCTTAATAAATTAAGCTTCACTACACAGAAGCTACCACCCATAAAAATGTAGCAAGCTAAGTTACAAAATCCTGTCAAAAGTAGCTTGATCTATAACAGCTACTTTAAATTAGACAAACTGCGATCACTGCAAAGGGAAAACAAGTACCGTCGGGACAAACCGGTGGGCTTCCGTCCTGGAGGAACTTATTTTCCAATAATGTATCAGCTACCTGTCAACTGATCACACAAAATAAACTCCAGTCCTTGTGAATAAAATAGTTCCCACACTAGCTTGGCTAAGCGAGTGTAAGCTAGGCTCTAGCTACTTGTTAAACTGTGTTACGAGGCTTCATCTGCCCATCCCTAAAAAGAAGGCATCTGAAAACATCTTTCTTTTCGCTCATATTTTTGAAAGTGGGGCCATGGTGTCACATCTTGAGACTCCTCCACTCCCTCTGGGCTCTCTGCCATCCATTCTTTTCCCTCCAACAGTAAGTGTGTGTGTGTGTTTGTGTGTATGCGCGTGTGCGTATGTCGTTATCTACACATGCGCTTGTACCTCATGGCGTGTTGTTGAGGACACATTATTCAGTCTTCCTAATTTGTTTGTGTTGTGGCTGCAGGAAACGCTGCATTGCAGGAGAAAACAGCTTTCGAGGACGCTACAGTGCTACTTGATCAATAAAATAGCTTAGTTACAGAACACCTGGTTTTGTAATTAGAAACGCTACCGTCAACTTGCTGAAAAATGTCTTGTTGCTACTTCCCATCACTGGTTGTGACATGTTGAAGCACTATCCTATCCTAGCCTGGCCATATCCATCCGTACACTCCGCTCAATCATCATTTCACTGCATGTAGCATCTGGGTCTGGTCCCTGTGTTAGCGATTACAATCGGTCATATTTCGACCGGCTACTCGGAGAGCGCGTTGTAGGTCGGTGCCGGTGACGTCAAGTAAGTACGTCAAGAGTTTGCGCCGAACGGGCAGGTTGTTGTTTGGCAGTGGCAAAGAATGCGATAGTAAAGTAATCCGGTCTGGTTCTGTCAAGAAATTGAAGCAGGAGCAAGAGGAATGTTTAGCAAATATAATTGCTGGTCAAGATTGTGGCGCTACTCCCCACGGGCTCCGTTAGCGGCAAAGGAGATGGCTAGGCTAAATGCTAATGCTAACAACTCACTCGGGCGCGTTACATACGTCACGGTAAACTCAGATCCAATCGTTTCAATCTGCAAAAGGAGTTAACCCCTCCCACCTGTAAACGGAGCTCAATGGAGCACGTCCAGATCTTAGTATGAAATGAAATTTGTACTATAGGGCACTGTCCGGTTTCCGAAATGTGCTAAAAATAGTTCCAATGACTGCGCATGTGCGCATGTTTCGGACAAACTCTGTCCGACTCCGTTGAGTACTACTGTGTTCTCCACATAAGCGTGTGTATTTATTTGGGCTAAATCATTGAATCATGGTGACAACAAAACACTGCAGTTATGGTGCTTGTGGGAGCGATTTCAGATACTCTGAAAAGGACTATATGAAAGAAGTAACATTCAACCCGTTCGTTAAACCACACCATCGAACCAGACCAGGACCAGACCAGGACCAGACCAGGACAAGTGCAAGAGGTGGGTGCTTGTGGTCAGCAGAATTTCTCTCATGAAAATGTTAAAAAGGACATGTTTTTTCAAAACACTTCGCTGGACCAACTGTGGAGCCTCCAGATCCAGTCCTAGCTACGTTTAGCTGGGACTGGACCTGGACCGCTGTATCAGGTCCGTCTGAGCTCTTCTGAATGTAGTTAGCCCCATCAATCCATATTAGTATTGTTTGTCCTAATCCAGAATGTATACAATTCTCACACCTGAAGAAAGATGAGAGGGATTTTTTCAACTTCGTGACTATCGGAAAATAAGCACAGACGAAGCGCGTCGGGGTCCGCTTATTATACGGCTTTGTACCAACTCAACACGCAAAATAAACTTCTGTCACTATTCATGCCAAAAGGTGTATTTAATGAGTGCAAAGAAAATAGTTCCCAAAGGTTTTAGTTCACCTACTTTAAAAAAGCGATCGCTTTAGTCGCATTAAAAAAGTATTTTTGTCATGAAAACCTTAACAGATAATTCTGAAAACCTCTGTGCACGTGTGTTGTATGAATATTATATTCTAGCATTAACATTTAAATATGTTGATTGATTGTCGTTTGCGTTTACTGAGTGTGGCTAGCTCCGATAGTTTCTCTCTCAGAGACAGTAGTGGTGTAGCCCGTTGTGACCCCATGGATCTGTTATAATATCGGCTGACTGTAGTTAACTAAATGATCAAACTAATTACGAAATGGACAGTACAAAAAACAACTTGATAAATGGAAGTTAATCAGAGCAAAATAAACAAAGAAGGCGCTAACATTGCAATTTAAATGACTAACTAGATAATGTTAGCATAATCCTCACCATTACCTTTTTATCAAATCAAACTTTCTACCAGTTACTGGAAGACCACGACATTCAAGCCAACGTTTTAATCGGTCTACACTATGATCCCTGATGGTTTGATGGTGGAATTTTGCCCCTGGTTTATCATTTTCGTCTAAAGTGACAAGAGGTATTTGATTCATTTTGGCAGTGTTTGTCCGAAACATGTGGGCGGGAGTTGACAGGCGGCGGGGGCGTGTCTTAGTGACGTCATTCAGATAGTTCGCTATGGTGTGGTACAACCAGGCTAGCACTAACCTAAACTTTTGCAAAATGTGCAAACAAGTTCAAATTAGTACTTTTGCAAGCCACTGTTTTTTATTGTTCATTAATTATGTAGAAGATATTGCAACTACGGTGGTCCCTAGTTTATCACGGCAATACGTTCTAAAAACATCCCGCAATAAGCAAAATCCGTGAAATAGCATCTGTGTGTTTGAAGGCTGTGAAACCCCTCACCACACACTTTATCCACTTTTCTAACCACCCCAACCCACGACTGCTGAAGTGCGCTATCTCCAGTCTCTGCAGAGATATCAAAGCTCTGTAAAGGCTTTGCAGAGGACACGGAGCTGAAGGGCAGGAGCACGACTGATGGAAAAGCAGCTGAACTACAGAGAACAGTAACCTATCAAGTTACAGTAAAGAAACGGAGACTGGAGGATCTAAGCCTACACTAGATCTGCTTATAATCGGTCCCCCTCCAGACTCGGAATCTAAAATACATGTGAACGATGTCGAACGTGTCGCAATGTTTGATATACAGTTTTGCCACTGTGGCCTGTCCGTGCAAACTTTTCACCTTCTCGCTGCGATAAACTGTTCTTACTTTGTGACTTCTGTTGACATAAGGCCGGGCTTGGGTTTCCCGTCACCTTGGCAAACAGCATTCCCTCGGACTATCACACAACCACACCGTGCCACAATGCAAGAGCGGCATGAACTTTCACATTCACCCCACTGCCCCAATGCGAAAGGGGCTTTTTGCAGCCTTTGAGTTGTCATAGCGACTGTAAATATACTGGATATTAACTGTGGGGTCATAGCCTCACCCGCCTCGCCACCTGAGCCTGTGGTTTCAAAATCTTTGCAGTGGATTTCTACCGTCATGACAAACTGTTATTTACAGCAGAGGTTATTTTTTCCCGGGATGTGAGATCATTTATTGACTGTAGTATCGGCGATCAACTGTAAGCAAAAGAAGATCAGGTTTTCTATCGCAGCGGCTTCCAGCAACTTTTTAAGGGAAAGACCACTACAAAGTAGGACACAACTGTGAAGTGAAAGCAAAATGATTATTATTTTGTTACTTAAAAACCCTGAAAAGTGGGGCTTGTATAAGTGTCAGCATAGTTTTTCTTGGAGTGCAGAAAAAAACGTTTGAAATTCTCATATCTCACTTTAATTATCAAATAGAGCTACTGTATGTACAATCTGATCTCCCTATGGTTACAGCTGATCTGAAGATTTACCAAGACACAGCCGTTCGTCCGATCGGAGACACAGACATCCAACTTCTACAGAATTGTCAACGATTAGCCGTACTCTACACAAAGCTAATTACTGGGGCAGTTTTCATTTGCAAAAAAATAAAACAGAAATATGTATTAGTTTCACAGATGTCTAGTACTCTGTTATGGTCTTGTGACATGTGGGTGTGACATGACAAGTACTAACTTAAAATGTAGCAAAAAGTGCAAGTTAGTACTTATGCAAGCCACTGTTTAATCTGAATTGTGTAATTTGTTGTTATTTCTTAATCAATTATGTATATTAATTAGGGTTATGTATTGTATGGTTATGTATTATTAATTATGGTGCACACTGGGGACTTCTGCGAACGTATTCCAATGTGGTTTTACTGCAAATGAATCCGAATCTGTATAATATATATTGCAACTCCAGTTTTCCCCACTTTATCATGGGTTTACGTTCTCAAAATAACCAGCCATACGCGAACGTGATCAAATCTGTCCACTAGATGTCAGTGTTACGAGCTAGTCTGAGCTAGTTCAGTGGCTCTTGACACATTTGAAACAGTCTGGAAAGGAAAACCTCAGTATGTCCGCCCATCATTACTGTATACACTTTTCTACCCACTTAAACTCACGACTGCTGAAGTGCACTACTCTGTTCACTGTAGAGATATCAAACTTTGTCAAACACAGCTGAAGAAGACATCACACGAAGAGGCAGGAGCAAGACTGAGGGCAACGGCAAGACCACAGTTGAGCAAACAAGCCACAAAAGTTGTCTTCTGACTTTAAATAACGGCAACTGTCATGTTCTACTAGCGGTTATATGATGTTGTTGGAGTACACACACTGCAAGACAAGTACGCTGTAAAAAAAAAAGTCCACAAAATTGCGCACACAAAAAAATCAGCCAAAATTTTGAGGCTGCAAAAGGTGAACCGTGTTGAAGTGAGGGACCCCTGTATGTGTGTCATGAAATATACTGAGCTTACTTGGCTTTCGCGTCTGCGTCCTCGTGGCCCTTACTGGAATTATCATCGAACCCTCCGATCAGTTTGTTGAAGGACCTGAAAGAAAAAAAAGAAAATAAAACACAGAAAATCACCCTGTTTCCCTACTCGGTTTAACCCTTTAATGTTCACTCCATGAAAAAAGCAATGTCATTTTTTCCTTTTTGGATTTTCTAAGATTGGCTAAAACCAAGTGAGGTACCCAAAAGAGGTACATGTGGTTGAGGGAAACCGCTAAAGGGTTAAAATACCTCGAGAGGAATACGTGAGACGGAATTCTGGGGACAAAAGTAGAATATGTGCATAAATATTTTAATGAATGAATTATAAAACAGAATTCCTACTGAGACGAATGATGAAAAGACTGCGTGATTAGACCAAGGATCCCATAGAGAAGGACGCACAATGAGATGCTCCTCAATGTCATCGCTGCATACTGATCTACAGCGTTATAGTTGTGTTCTGTTGCCATGGTAATGTGGGAATAACTGGTAAACTTAGTTGGTGTAATATAATCCACCGTGAGGAAGATTTTATATGGCTCATCAAAAAGCACATTATTTTTATTTTATTTATTTCTTACCATTACTGTATTATCTGAAAAAAAATGTAATCAAATTATTATGAATCTTAGACCTTTCACAATATCTCAGTTTAATGTACAATATATTATACAAAATATGGCAATAATGGATAAAGTCAATAATCCCAGTTCATTTATAAGGATGTTTTGAAAATGATAAACAGAATTAGACACATGTACAGCCAAAACCGCATTGTTCTGAATAGAAAATAGCAAAACTCTCTCTACTTTTGAAAAATATATGAGCGTCATAATGATTTGCCGGACAAGAGATGACAAAATCTTGAAGTTTCCTCAATTTAAATTGTGTGGAAATAATCTGATATTGAGTAGCAAATATAAGTACTTGGGACATTTTATTACTGAAAACCTGTCTGACGATGACGATGTGTTACGGCAGTGCCGCATGATGTATGCACAGGCCAATAGGCTTGTGCGCAGGTTTGGTGCATGTACAGATGAAGTGAAAAAGACACTTTTTAAAGCTTATTGTACACCGTTATATACGGCACATCTGTGGTCAAACTATAGACAATCCAGCATGCGGAAGCTAAATGTGGAATACAATGACTGCCTAAGAATCCTGTTGAAAAGGCCTCGGTGGGAGAGTGCCAGCCTATTATTTGTTTCTTCTGGGATTCGAACTTTTCGTGCTGTACTAAGAAACCTGATGTACAGATTTATTTGTCGACTGAATCAAAGTCAGAATGTGATCATAATGAGCCTGACAAACATCAGAATCAGTGCCACACGCTATCAGTCTGAACTGTGGCGTCACTGGTACAGTAGTCTGCTGTAATCATGTATGCTTATTTTTATGATTATTGTTGTTTTTGTTTTTTTGTAATGTCTTTCTTATCTGGACTTTGTGTCTGTAATAAAGTTTAATATTGAGGCCCAACAAATACTGTAGTAGTGACTAGAACCAGGAAGTACCACCCAAAGTGCATCTTTGACAGGTTAGTGCCATATGAACCAACTCAAACTCTGAGGAGCACAGGGACCGGCCTCCTCCAGGTGTCCAGAGTCAGAACTAAAATCTGGAACAGTCTTCCTGAAAATGTGAGACAGACTTCTACTCTGACAATGTTCAAATCCAGGCTAAAAACAGTTTTGCTGTGCGTATAAATGAAGGATTGTTTCTTCACTATATGTTTAATGGACTGTGACTATTTGTAATTTTAATGCCTTGTGTGAATTTATGTTTCCATCTTGTTTTGAGAAGCACTTTGAGTTTCCTTGTGTATGAACAGTGCTTTACAAATAATTTTCATTTCTTAACCCACCAGTTATTGAAGTCAATATAGTAGTGATTGGAGCATAAAAGACGCACATTACAAACCATGTGAACGTTATGGTATACCAATGCATCTGCAGAATCTCCTAAAAACTGTTATGATCTGAATAGATAAAATAAAACATATTTTTGGGGGAGAATGAAGCAGCTGGGTGTGGTTCTCATCAAGGCACTGGGCTCAGCCGGGGAGCGCTCCCACCGGCACCGTAATGTTGGAGACGGCTGCTTCTCGTCTGCTCCTCGGAGACTCCCGACAGAGCCTTCCCCACTCAAATCATTCTTCCATCGTTAGCTTTTTTCGACACATTCATAACTGTATATTAATCAAACCCCACGGGTCCAGAGACTCAAGTTTGGCCTCAGTAATGATCAAAAAGTAAATGGACAAATTTTAAACATAACTGATAGAAGAAAAATGATGCGTTTTTTTGGCCGATCATATGAAAAAGAGACTATTTACTTTGTCATTTAATGTTTTAGAATGTGAGATTATATATTCATGTAGAAAGTATATGGTGAATCAAGTATGCAGAGTAAAAAAATAGTTTTCACCTGCAACTCTTCATGCTCCCACCAGAGGGCAGATTACAAAATTACACAGCCATGCAATTGTAAAGAATGTGATTTAACTTGAGAAATTGGCAACAAGAATTCATGAGCAATACTTTTGTTTTAAAAAATTGTGATGTGTGGTGTCATAGTGGTAAGTAAGTAATTTTTATTTATATAGCGCCTTTCACAGACCAGAGTCACAAAGCGCTTTACAATTTTTGTGGCCATTTGTCACTCAATCCACACAGAGAGGCGCATCCCAGACCTATTGTACATGTTTTTAGTGGTAGGGGAAACCGGAGCACCTGGAGGAAAAATACACGGACACCGGGAGACGATGCAAACTCCACACAGAAAAGTCCTGGAGGTGGAATCAAACCCAGGACCTTCTCGCTGTGACGCACAAGCGCTAACCACTCCGCCAACGCGGTCACCTCCCAATGACCTCATACTATCACAGGACTGTCACAAGAGCTTTTAGACAGAAGGGGCGGAGCTACAGGTTGGGGCCAGAAGTCCTTTTTATTAACATGGATGGATTTTTGCTGAGGAAAATATGCTGAAACATGATTTTGAAAAACATGTCTCTTTTAATGTAACACGAGGCTTGATTCGACCGTACATGTGTCGCATTTAATCTCATTCAATTGTTAAATAGACGTTTGGAGAAAGACTGTACTTTCATCATTTCATCGATTGATCTTTTGGATTATTAACGATGACCTTCTCTGTGCTTTTATCTCAGTCTGGCACAGTTTATTCCAGTCCAATATCAAAGGCGGAGTCCAAATACTTTCTGAAGGATTGGTTTGGGCAGAACAAAAACCCTGTGCAGTGTCTTTAGTCATTAGCCACTCGCTCACTCAGCTCTTTTAGGAGGATGTCCCATTTGTGATGCTGGGCCGGGCTCCCAGGGGCCGCACGGTGGTCTGGGTAATCTGATATGATGACCCTCCCTGCCCCCACTTGAGAGAGGAGCCGTTAAGCCGCTCCGCTCCGCATGCCGGACAATAATATCAGCCTTATATAATCGACACATCTGAGCGTTCAATTTCATTTTTGGGATTGTGTGACTGTAGAGTTTTTTTGGCACGACGGGGAGTATATTGTACAGACAGTTGTAGAGGATTATCATTATCATCTCTGCCCAGGAGGTACAGTGATCACCAGGGTCTGTTTGTTTGTTTGTCTGTGCGCAACATCAATAGAAAAGTTATTGGAGGATTTGGATGGCATTTTCAGGAATGATGCGCAATTGTCATGGTGTGGATTTGTAGTTATTTTATACTTGGTTTTATTTTGTAATCAGTTCTCTGTGCCTTGGTTTTAGTTTGACTTCCTGTCCTGTTTACCCCTGTCTTGATTGGCTGCCCCGCCCTGATGTGTTTCACCTGTGTCTAGCTATATGTACTCTGTTCTCCTCTCCTCTTGTTGCTGGTCCATTGTCTAGTTCATGTCTTTGTCTGTTTCCATCCTGTTCCTGGTCCCGTGTTCCTTGTGGTTTTGGATTTTGAGTTTGTTTTCATCTGCACTTTTGTTTTTTCATCATTAAAACATTTTTATTTTGGCATTCCTGCATCTTGAGTCCTTCATTCACCTCTCCTCCTGACAGCAATGGGGCGTAGAAATTATTTAACTACATAGCAATGGTACGGCACCTTTAAGTGGAGGTCTGTGCTCCAGAAGTAACTCTCAAGTAATGCATTAATACTAGAACTCTCAGAAGTTCAAAATCATTCAAATGATGGAATTCTGAAAAAGTACCAACAAGTAAGTTTATTTTCTACCAGTTTTATTCAAAGTAGTTCTTAAGCTTCTTTGCCTTTTCTCAGTTTTAGTGGTAAAATTGGTTAATATAATTATAGTTGTATTATTATAACTGATAAGGAATGCTAACAGCAGCAAGTAACAAGAACTCGCTCTTCTCACAAAACTCAGTTCACAACCAAAACCAGTCCCAAAACCAATCCAGGACCAGTCCAAAACCAGTCCAGAACTTCAACTTCCATAAAGTATTATTTGCCAAACCACCAATATTTACTACATTTGAATTACACATTCAAATGAGAGGAGCAGTCAAAATGACCTCTGCGGGAGTTTAACTACTCAGAGTTCAAAAATAAAAAATAATTCCCGACAAAATAATGACATAGAAATGAAATACATAAAGATACAGAAAAGTCTCAGGGTTCAGAAGACCAATAATCCACATGAGTAATTACGCTTCCAAAACTAAAAGACTTCTCTGGGAGTTCTAGCGGTAAATCTTATTCAACCACTTTGGTGCTGGAGAAATATACCTGAAATATACAAAAGGTCAAACTCTGAAACTAAGTGATAGAGTCAATAAAAGGGAAACAAAAATGTCATTAAATATTGAAAAAGCCACCACAGCTTTAGAGCTCCTCACGCCGCTCCCTTCAGAACAATGCGTCACCTTTATGCTTTATATTTGAAAACCACTAGATTTTTTAAAATTGTGAATCATTCCTGTGTTTCTGAGGACAGGGCTCTGCAGCAAGGTCTGGAGAGGAGGATGAGAACAAAAACTCATTATATGAAAGAACCAAAGCCAAAACATAATTGAGCCTTTCAACCCGGGCTTTGAACCAACGAGAGCTCGACCATTCATTATTTGAAGATCTCACTTTTTCGACCCTGTGTTTATTCGATTCTAAAGTTACAGGAGATGAACCTAACAACACAAAATACGGCTCGAGTAAAAGACATGTTTCTGATGTAGAAAAGTGTTAATATCTTCCATTATCACCAAAACACATCAGCTTCACTCATCGTTCATTATCAGAGAGAAAATATCGTCTTGTTCTTTTACGCAGGTCTCAAATTGACCTTTACTGCTCAAAAAGACCAAATAAAACAAACAGAGCCGGCTGTAAATATCCAAATGATGTCTGTGGGTTTCAGTGTTCTGCTGCTAAACCACGTTCATCACGGCGAGTGTTTGTACTTACTCCAGGTCAATGACCAGGCACGTCACTGCCTCCGCCGCGATCACGTTGGCCGTCCGCAGGTCCTCTCTGTGGAAACACAACACAACATTAGTGCTCAGTGGTTACACAACTGCAGAATGTGAAGCTATAACTGCAGACGATACAATAACACTTCAGCTCCCATTCCCTTCTGGATTCATAATAATGATAATAATGCATTGGTTTGAAACAGCGCTTTTCTGGACGCTCAAAGAAGCCTCACAAGTCATTGGTACCAAAAGGAGGGAGCACATAACTCCGGTGTTAAAATCACTCCACTGGCTCCCTGTGGAGTACAGAATAAAGTTTAAAATCCTACTCTTAACATATAAAGCCATAAATGGCTTGGCTCCCTCTTATCTCCAAGACACGTTAGTGTCGTATCAACCAGGTCGACGTCAGACGTCTTTGATTCAGACGTCTGGTGGTCCCTAAGGTCTCAAAGGTCACTGTTGGTGGCAGAGCATTTAGCTACCAAGCTCCTTTACTGTGGAATCAGCTTCCCATTTATGTTAAGGAAGCAGATACGGTCTCCACATTCAAGGCCAGGCTTAAAGCACTTTACTTTAATTTAGCATATAATTAGGTAATATATAATATGTAGTGTATATATTATATATATATGCTGTATTATGTTATATATTATGTTATATATTATTCAATAATGTATTGTGTTATGTTGTATATTATGTTATATATTATGCTGTATGTTATTCTTTATTCAAGGCTAGGTTTAAAACAGTCCTCTTTAGTTTAGCATATGGCTAGGAAGGTAAGACTCGGAGAAGGTTAAACTCCTCAGAGTGTCAGTCAAGCTGCATAGGGAGTCAGTTTGCTGGGAGAAGTATGGTAACTTGAGCACTATCCTCTCCTCCTTCCTACTTTATCTGTTTAGCATTTTTAGGATTCTGACTGTAGTTTGTTCATTGCTATTCACCCGTTGTCCCATTGTCTGTTTCATGGTACGATGACGGGATCTCTGAGCCTGGCCTCTTCCATCTACACCTGCGGACTGCCCCGCCCGACCCGCCTGGGAGTGCTTCGGTCCTGCACCGGACCTGTCCACGTTCAGCGGCCACTGGTCCACGTTCTGTAGCTAGCTTAGGTCCTAGATCATTAGCCTGTCCGTCCGGAGGAGCGGATCCCTTTCTCAAATGGGTCTCCCTCCCTGTGGGTTTCCCTAGTGCTCCCCAAGGTTTCTCACGTTTTCCCACTGGGTTTTTTAAGAGTTTTTCCTTGTCGATGCAGGAGGGTCTTGTTGGACAGTTAGTGTCCAACAGAAAGGATTGGTGATGATCAGGACACTTTAGCATTCTACAACATGTATGGACATTTTCTTCTGTGTGTGCTTTATATTCTTCATGTGTTTTAACTGTTGATTCTCTGACCTGTGTTGGTGATTTAAATGGTTTTGTTAAGTCCTCTGAGATGACTTCTGTTGTGACCTAGGGCTATACAAGAATAAATTGTATTGTAATTGTATTATTCACTCCATACACGGTGGTGATAAACTACGACTCTAGCTACAACTGCCCTGGGGTGCACTGGCAAAAGCGACCTCTGACCACCGACCATTCACACACACACACCCACACACACTAGACTCATTCTAGACAACGTGGGTGAAGTGTCTTGCCTAAGGGCACATTAACAGTTTGGCACTTTACAGCCGTAGCCGTTCCCAGAGGTCTCCCATCACAGTACTAGGTCTGACGGGATCTGACTTTCGGATTCAGGTATGACACACTGCTTTGGGATTGGGTAGATAATACCATTTATACCATTACTATTATTATTACTATACTAATCCATCTGATCCATCTATTTATACGTTTAATTATTTGTTATTATTTACTTATTTAACTGTCTTTAAATGTACTTCTTACATGTTACGTAAGGAGACCTTGAGTGTCTCGAAAGCCGCTGCAGAAATAAAACGTATTATTGTTATTATTGATATTAGTAATTATTTACTGTATTTTTTAGTTATTTACCCATTCTTTATCATGTTATTTACTAATTTATCAATTTTTTTTTTTTTTTTTTTATTATTTTACCACTTATTTGTTATATTATGTATTTGTTTAGAGTTATACATTCTGGACAGTCACAAGACATAACACGACAAATTATAATTACATTTAAAATCCCGCAACATTTGGGTACATAGATGGATCAATAAATATATAGATAGATGGATAATAGTTACACACACATTTATATACAATTGATAAGATGTAAAAGATCAATTATCTGCTGTATACAGTAAGTAAAGGGTCATTTATGTCACTATGAGAAACCAAAACGCATTTCATTACACTAACTACACACAGTGCAATCAATAAAGTAGTTGTAAAAAGTAACGTGGTACTGGATTGACGATGGGAATTGTTCAAACACTATCAAACAAATATTGGTACATTTTATGCCATAAAATCCAAAATATAAATCGAACCATGAACAAGCATGTCCGTTCGTTCAAACCACTAAAAGATGTTTTGTTCAACCACTTGTTTTTACACGCAAGTATTTAATTTGCCTCGGTCACATTTTTTAGATGAGCTTTTAAAGACAGAAAGTCAAAAGTCGCGCTACGTCTATGTAACGACATCCGTCAAACTCAATCCTCGCTTTCAAAACAGAAAAGGTATTCGTGAAAAGAGGAACATTCCTTTCTTACAAACATTCCAAAGATAAGGTGTTTTCTCCCTGGCATGTTTGTGACTCTTTGGGGACCAACAAAATGTACAGGCCAAAATGTTGTGTACCCCAGCTTTACATTTCAAAGGCAAAAAATGTGACACATTTTGAGTAGCAAGTTTAGGTTAGAAAGTCTCTTCTTGTTCGTATATTGATATCGGATTTGAGTTGAAATGGTAAACTCCAGACAAGACAAAACGCTGCACTTTACACAGCCGTTAAATTGGCACTCGCTCAAACGTCTCGCTCGCGCTCCGTACAGAAAGACTGGCATTACGTTTTATTAAATTTGACTGCAGCTTCCTCTTCATCGGATGACAAGTCTTGAGAGGAATCACTCCATCGGCAGGAGTCCTCCGAATCACTGTCCCATGTCTCCATCTTTGAGACAAAAAACTCCAAACTCTGACGGCACACAAGCAAAAACGAATGCTTCACGCCACTCAAACAGCACTCTGGGTAATTAGACAATTACAAACAAGCAATTTGTCAAAGCAATTCGTCCGTCTGGAACTTCAAAACGGCTTCAGACGTCTCTTAGGTCTGTCTTTGTCGCTCTGGGCAATCAAAAAATTACAAAACACAATCATTCAAAACTGTCTTCCATCTTGAACATCCAAATTTATGCAAATCGGCTTCAGACGTCCTCTAGGTCTTTCTTTGTTACTCTGGGCAATCAAAAAATTACAACTGACTATACTTTGAAACTGTGGTCCATCTTGAACATCCAAATTTGAGCAAATCGGCTTCAGGCTTGGGAAATCAAAACACGAGAAAAAGCACCCTCAAAACTGTCTTGTATCTTGAACCGAGACCATTCGAAGTTGCTTAGGTCCGTCTTTGTGTCATAAAACTCAAATCCAAATCTCGAGTCTTCTTCCACAATGCCATCTCTTCCAAAAAACTGGGAGTGACCATTCTCCCCGTGTCATGTCGACCCTCTCTGTTTTCCCTTTTGGAACGTGCGAAAAACCCCAGCCCCTGGACGCTGACCCGGCCCAAATACACGCCACAGATGGTAAGGGAACCAGACTTTTTTTTTTGTTCAAACGCTGTAGGATAAACAGATGCAGGGAGATGTGTGGACAGCATTTCAGAGAGGGCAGGTTGCAAAGGGACATATTTTCTTTCGTAAGCTTCCCAATATATGACCCACGTCCAGGCTCTCGGCAGAATAGTCTGGCCCGGGACCGTCCCACCTGTTGCTTTTGTTTGGCCACAGCGGCATTCAATAGCCCTGGAGTCATTTCCACAAGCGCACAATGGACAGAGTGAGAGCTGCCACTGTGTGATGTATCGGTGTGAAAATACTTATGAAAGACTCTGTGTTTGGATGTTGTTGACAGAGAAAATCCTGTGTTTTTTATAGATAATATTTAGCTTGTTGGCTTTTATTTAAACAGGAAAGTCCCACTGAGATTGGAGATTAATCAGGAGATAAAGAGATCGTTTATTCGTCCCACAGAGGTTGCATCAGCGGTTACAGAAGAGTAGGAATGAGTAGCACACAACGCAAGATAAATGATATAACTACCAAAAATAAAAATAAAAATCTCTAAGTTTAATTAATAAGCAAGTCTGAAATCTCTATCTTAAGTGGAATAAGGATGCAAGTCTAAAAGCTCCTACATTAGCCTAAGGAAGAGCAAGAAATAGGTGTGAAATAGCATAATATAGAAGCAAGTAATTCAGGGGAGTCCTGGTCCCAGACAGAGGGTGTGGGAGTGGGGTCGGGGAGGGTGTTATGGGGGTGTTACCACCGTGTCACTGTGCTGCACTAATTAGTTGAGAAAAAGCTGGGGTACATTACTTTATTGCAAAAAATATTTCTTTTTGTTTGTCCTAACAGGCTGATTGGCTGAATGAGGCCGGTCTTCTCTTTTTCACTTTTCTGTTCGGAAAAAGCTGATCTCTTTGGCAGAGGCCCAAAACACTTGCATGAAGGTTTTAGAACAAAGAACGAGTTGGATGGATTTTTGTTTACTTTGTTACATTTGTGCTTTGAAAGTTGCGTACCTCAGCTTTAAATTCACTTGATTGAGTCTAGTCCAGTCTTTATCTGTAGGGACCACTGAGACGGGGATATTGAGCTCATAAAAGAATTGTGCCACAGATTGTAGCTAAAGATTCCATCTGCAGGTATCCACAACTGCGGTCGACATGACCTCATGTTATTCTATCTCTGTGGAGAACACTCTTTTGGATCCATTCAAACTACTGCCGTTTTACCTACGGGAGCTTTTAAAATGACCATATCCAACTTGACATTACAGTTGGTGCAAAAGTACAGCAATGTCAGATTCATATGTCAGGTCATTATGACAGCTGAGCTAACTTTCAAACCACAA